TCCTTGTGTCGCTGCAATGCCATCGTCACCTGAGCTGCATTCACATGCACGCCTTGGACCCTTTGTCTTTTGATCAAATTGTGGCAATTTGTCCTAGTTGATGTGACGTTGCCCCTTTCCTTGAGGATGGGTAGACCCAACCTGTCAGCAGTTGTAGGCTGACTCGCTGGGGGCTGCCTGTCCCGAGGGCCCCTTCCCGACTCCCAGCACAGAGCCCGACCCAGTGCTCCCTAGAGCCGAGCGTGCCGCTCCTCGGGCTGCCTCACAGCCACCCTGGGTCGACCAAGCCGAAAGTGGAGTTGAGGACATAATGAAAGGAATCGGCCTGCAGAAATCAGTGTTGCCTCCAGAACACGTTTACTGATTCATTTGGTCCAAGACAAGTGATAGCTGTCAGTTTAACTTTATTCCCAGTGTGCCTAACGTTATTATTTTCAGAATTCAGACCTCAGTCTTCCACTTCACGCTAAGCTGTCTTGAAAACTAAGCATGGATCGTGCACGTCACGAGCGCTCTCACCCAGAGCTGCCCGGGGGCAGGCTCAAGGCCTTGGTCACTGCGCATCCCCACTGACCCTGCTTTGGGCTTCTCAGCACACAGCCTGGGCCTCTGTCCACCAGACTCCTTTCCTCATGCACGGAAACGGAGCCCGGGTTACATACACACAAAGTGTAAGCCGGTACCTCACAGACGTGCAGATTTCTTTGTCGTAGGGTTAGTATTTAGTACTTTGATTTATATATAGCATGCTATTCCAAAATGAAATAAAGTGCACTTTGCAAACCTTTCCAGTCTCACTTGATCGCTGACGCCTCCTTTGGCTCACCTCCACCCAGTTTCTTGAGAAAACTGTAACTTCAGAAGAGCTATTGTGTCACTGTACCACTGCTGTATTGTCCCCCTGGTGGTGTTCGATACTTATGGTTGATCTAGGTCATTCATTCTTATAATGATTGCTTTTGTTTTTTCACAGTGATACAGATGAGTCACTTGTGTGCAAGAGATAGTCACATAACAAGCCTACCCAAAGGATCACGCAGTGCTTGTATTTCTAAGTTAATTATTATTATTATTATTTTTTTTTTTTGCAAACTATCCTCATTGTCCATTTACGCTGAGTGAAAATGTTCCATGAACTTATCCTCATTTAGGGGAAGTGACTGTGATTCTAGCTTATGTCTGAGGCAGTGCTGGATTATCCCCAGTGTCCCATTTCAGTCACCGACATTTCTCTCTTTTACTAATGCAGTTATCCCCTTTGGGCAGTCAGTTAATTAAGTGATCTCACCACATTTAATTCTGTTTGACAACAACAGTGTCACTACCCCTGTTTTGTCAACAACGAAGCCGGACTCTGGGACAGAGCAACTGATCTGTTCACACAGCCAGGCCACAGCCAAGCAAAAGTTCAAATGAGGTCGGAATGACATCAAGGCCAACACTCTTGAGTGTGGTGTCACCCTGCGCTTAGCACACACAGAAGCACCATCGTCTGTGTTTTCAGGATGAGATTACTGATGAGGTGAGGCATCGCTGAGTATCTTTTGAGCCTGTCACATAGGGATTTGTGCCTTCTGCTGTCTTCAATGTGGCAGCTTTGCCTCGAAGGGGCCGGTCCCACAGAATGAGGCAGGGACAGTCACGGAGAGGGCTGAGGTGGGACGTCACAGCTCTGGGCTTGGTACCAATCGGTTGGAATCTTGGTCAGGCTCACTGTGCAGCACTGGCTCCCAAGTATCTCCACATAAACCAGCAATAGGAAGTGTGAGCTCTGGTGAGGCCCAGTTGGGAGACTCAGATTTCCTGAGTATTATGAGATGAGCAAGTAGTGCACATTAGGATGTAATAATGACTCGAGTTACGAGGTCAGTTATACTGAGAACAGCCTCATGTTCCTAACATTAGCAGCCCCACTGATAGAATTCGCTGATACTGATCTATGAAAATGTATGACTCAGCCATTTTTTGAATATTTAAGGACGCATTTAAGCTTTAGCCATAGGGAAGTCAAAAGAAAGACATCATTTACTCTATCATAGGGGTTTCTACTCTCAACAGTCATTTACAAAGTAACTTTTTATCCTCACTACCTTAAGTGTGAGACCCATTTTACTCTGCTGTCTGGGTTGGGGTTTCTCCTTTTTGGCACTGCCCTTGAGGACAGGGGACACGGTCCTTTGTGCTGCATCCTGGGCTGCACATGCCAACCTGGGATGATGTGCTCACCACTCACTCATCCTGACCCACAGTGTCCAGGACTGTGAGACATCTGGGGCAGAGGGACAATGGCCCCAGGTAAGAAGCCACTGGCCTCAGTGCTACCTCCTTGCTATTGGTTAAAACTCAATAGAAAATGAGCTCATATAAAAAATAAAGCTCTTTTGATAGCACTGGATACCATTTCTAATTCCTCTAGAAATTAATTCTCAGCTGATAAATTAGGAACCTGACCAAGGGGAGGGCCTAGGAGTGATGGTGGAGGATTAGTCTGAAGGGTGCTAATGGGAACGAGGAAGCGATGGCTTGCAGCTCCTCAGGGCTCCAGGCTTAGCCCAGGGCCTCCCTCCACCTTTCTGGCAGTGGCTGGGGATCATCCACAAACACTGCAGATCTCCAAGGAGAAGGTGTTGTTTTACACCTCAGCACTCTGTTCCCTGATGTCTTCCTGGACGAGGAGGAGAAGTGTGAGCTGAATGAGTGGGCTTGGTGGACCGCAGGCTACGTGGCCTTTGTCTGTGGACTGAGTTGAAAAGGTAGTGCGTCCTCACGAGCATCTTCAGTTGGGATCATTCCTGCATTTGCTATTTCCTTCTTGCTCCTGGTGCTCTTTATTTTTCCATTTCTTCCTCCCATGCAGCACAAATTGTGGGGGCTCCTGACTCCCATTGCTGTCCTTTTCTGGGGACTGTCCTCACCCTGGCAAACCCGAGTGAGTCAAGGACAGGAGGACAGGCAGAGGCAGCTTAGGGGTGGCCTTGGTTGTTTTATGATCCTCCATTTTGTGTTTCTTTATGATGACAATGTAGCAAGAGTTCAAGGACCAGAGTGTGAAGAGTTAGAGGACTTTGGGCTTGGCTTTAGGATATGTTTGTCTGGTTCACCGGGCCCTATTTAGAAGTCCCGGTTTTAAATTTTTTCTATGTTAGAGCCTGAAGGAAGAACATCAGCTTGAAGCTGCACTGAGAAGTGTTTAGATGCTGAATCGGCTTACAATTCTGCTACCGATTAAAATTATGAGTCATTCCAAGGTCTACGTGTGACTTGCTAAAGAAGCCTTCGGCTGGTGTGTAGAGATAGACATCCCTATGCCCATGGCCACAGTGGAGATCTCAATGATGGATGAGATTGTGATCCTCTGATGGCAAGAAAACACTAAGGCTGAGGAATTATGACTCTGTTCAGCCACTCTCCCAGATCAAACGTTAGCCATAGGAAACACGGGTGGCTTGTTAGCTACGACCTACAACGTAACACGGGTGGCTTGTTAACTGTGACCTGTCCTTCAGAAGAAGGCATTGTTCCTCCCCTTTCCAAGCCTGGCTCAATAGTGCATTAAATGTGTTATTCTTTACATCTGCCTTTACCACCCTGCTATGTTGTGTAAACAACAAATGCTGACAACGTGGAGGAGGATCATTATCTCAGCTGTGAAAGAGCTAAGATCAGGGATCTTGGCATAAGAGAGCTATGATCAGACCTCCAAGTAAAAAGCCACCAGCTGGTCTCATTTCTTTATTCCTTGTTCTTTGTATATTATCCTTTTATCCCCTGCTGTATCCTCATTCAGGTGATGGGGTGTCCCTCGATGGTTATGTCTCTCGAGCATAACCTGGTTTCTCAATGACATCTGTTGTGCCCAAGTCACGAAGTCCCCAAAGACCACCAAGGAGTCAGGTCCGATGCAATTACAAGAGGAGTTTATTGCAAGCCCGAGCCTGGACTCTCAGGTGCCACCGTCACAGCGGCTTCAGACCGAGAGCCCAGATCCAACTTTGAACCAAGTTTATACAGGATTTTTCTGTTGCTATTTTTAGTTTTCCCTTATCATCAAGGGGCATCGGGAGGGCACATTTGGATATGATCTAATGCTTACTTTTGCAAAATTATCATGGGGTGCTGGGAGGGGTGGAGATGCCCTAAAAGAGGAACTGCAATCGTCAAAGCACAGAGAAACTGCCACATAGAATGGCAACTATTACATAGAATGGAATTTTTCACAAAGGAACTTTTATATTTACTCTCTTCTGGGTAAGGGGTTTGGAGCCCACCATGACCTGGAAACTTGGTCCTCATAATTCAGACCTTATCTCCCACTTCCACCCCGATTATGTCTCAGGGAAGAAGCGAATGAATTGTGTTATGATCAGAAAGCTTGACATTTTACCTGCCATCGGATTTCATATTTTTAATAAGAAGAAAGCCAATGAACAGTGAACTCTAGGCATCGGTTCCAGATCTGCATGCAAGCTCTTCTTTTAGACATGATGTGTTTATTTGAATTTTATGTATCTGGGAAAGTGCAGAAGAGGTCTCAGCTCTCCTATCAGCTTTTCTAACTGCCTGGATGGGGCAGTCCATAGGCATAGGCCACAGTGCAGGGGAGGCCGTGCATTTTCTTGAAATCTTGGATGTGAAGCTACGGGTTTGATTTCCAGAAGTCACAATCAAAAGTACCTTCTATTAGGGGCTGATGAAGCTACTGTATTAATTTTAAAAATTGAGCTTATTGGCGAATGCTAATAGGTATCAGAAAGCTAGGATGAGTACTTTGCAGAATGACTTTAAATAGATACTGTTGTCACTGTTTGGAAATGAGGAAAAATGTTGTTTGTGTTTCTTCTTCTCTCTAGGCCTAATCTAATGAATGTAATCAAGCTTATTAAAAAACTGGTAGACTTCCTTTAAACAAATGGGCAGAAAAAATTTTGGTTGATTCCCATTGATTTGTTTTGAAAAAACACACAGCTTTAAACTCTCCATTTATTTACAATATTTGTGCATGGAAATAGTAATGTGATAACGCTGCATTCTATTTTAAGCTAGTAAATTGTTTCGAAGAAATAAGTAGATGACATTTTAGAGCTTTTTAATGAAAAATATAGGTTATGGAAATGCATATTAAATTGAAGTGCTGAAAAAAATTTAAATATAAGGTTTTTGAGGGTTACACGCAGAGAGGCACTAAATACAGGAAGGCTTCTGGAAAACACGATATAACAAAAGTAGTATGAGATTTGGTTGTAAGAAATACAGGCAGCAGACCTGCGGTTCAAAGGCAAACGTGTAGGCAGGGCAGTCTGTACTGTCAAGGTGACTGCAAAGTGACGGCTGGCCCCTCGAGGGGTCCTGTCACCTTGCTGTACAGCATCTACCTTCTCTCCTCTTACTTTTCTTTAATTCGCAAAGTAAGAACTCATTTCTTAGGCAGCAAAGTCATTGCAAAGCCCAAGCATTTTCCCAGAACACCGTTGGTCAATGATGCGCTCTTTCTGCCCAGATGGAAGCGTGTGAGAAGGCACGGAGAACACGCCCCGGTGATTCCAGGTTCCCGAATCCCAGGCGTGCTTCCGCTCCCAAGAATTCACAGTACAGAGTTGCCCTGGAGGGAGAAGAAAATCCAAACGCCAGCTATCTTCTCCCAGACAGCACAGGGCCTGCAGTCTGGAGTTTCATTCTATTACCTGGGGATGATATAGCAGGAAACGTACTTGTGAATAAGGACTCATCAACCGAAATTTATTATGCAGCACAAAATCACCCCCTCTACATAAATCTTGCTAAGGAATAATCACTTTTAGCTTGAAAAATACACATGTTTATCCTTTCAGGAGAAGACAATAAAATATTTAGAGCCTGCTATTTCCCAGATAAATGATTCAAGTCCCTAATAAATCTCCTTTAGTTTTTCTAATATATATATGGTGAGCATTTTACCTTCTTTAATGATCTTTCCTGCAACAGAAACCAAATTCTTTTTCAACTTGGAGTGGAGCAGGAAGCTACAAAATAATAATAATAATAAAAAAGACTCAGAGGTAGCACTGCCTTCATTTTAAGGCCGAACAAAGAAACACGACAAAATCATTGTTGCTTATCTGAAACTAAGAAGGATTAAAACAATCCTAAAATGTTGGAAAACTAAAAAAATGTTTCTTTCTGGAGCTTACCAAAGATATTAATTCTAGATTTTAGCAAGAATAGGATGCTGGATAACAGTGCAAATTTTCTATATCACATATGCAAGTATTTGGAATAACATGATTTTTATGAAAGAAAACTTGTGATTGGGACATTATTGGTACTGTTTGAACTGGTCTGAGTTTTAAATTGCTATTCTCTTTGGTTTATTTTATTTTAACTTTTAGTTAGCAATTTCCTTTTAGTTAAATCTATGATATGCAGTAAAGCATTTTTGTATCAATACTATTTTGGGACTACATTTTTTCTATAACTAGACTTTAAGAACTATATATTTTAGTTCAGAAAGACTCATCATATTTCTATTATTAAAGCACATGTACTCATAATTCCTCTAGGATTTATTATTTTTTGGTACATGTTGGATTCAGCCACACTTTGACCTTGATGGTTTTTCTTTTAAGCTCTGTCTCTCTTCTATGCCCCTCCAATAACTGTATTTTATTTTATTTTACTGGGGCTTGGATTGAAGCTAGGGCCTCTGCAGTGAGCTACATGCTCTTTCTGTATTTGTTTTCTCATTGAGTTTATTGGTACATTTTAGATATACAGTACAGTTACATTCATCGTTGGGCTCTTGTACCTTTACATGACAGGTCTTCTCATGTTTTCCCCATACCCCTGCCCTCCCTTCACCCCCTCCATAAAGAATGAGAAACTAGAGTCATTCATAGGAAAATGGATGCATATTGAGGTTATACACTTAAGTGAAATGAATAAATCACACATAGGTAAATACCAAATAGTTTCTCCGGTGTGAAAAGCTATAATTGCAAATAAGATCCTAATGGTATAATTGACAATGTGTAATAGGAAGAAAAGGGCTAAAGGTGTAGGGGAAGTGGGAAGGGTAGGGGAAAGGAAACGAGGGAAAAGAAAAAAATATGAGAAAATGAAAAAAATGGAAATAAAGTTTTTGTATTTAAAAAAAATTTTGGACAGGGTCTTGCTAATTTGCTTAATTTCCTTAGATGGATGCTCATGAATTTTTCACATGAATGTTCATAACCTACTGGGTTCACATTTATTCTAAAGGACAGATAGGGTACAGGAGTCCCATTTTCTTTCTCAACAGAGAAATTCTTTCTTTGAATTTCATAGGCATTAACATAAACACGCCTTACCTTATTGCTAAAGGGGGTGTTATGTAACATGTTTTCGTTGCGGGCAGCGGTACCTATGAATACAGACTCTGTTACTATCGCTTCAGTCTCCCACATATTCATGAATCATTTCATTATCACTTTCAAAAATGGTGAGTACAAAGACTAAACAGAAAAATGATGAAACATCAAAAGAGCACTGGAAACATACCTTTGGCAAGTACATTCCTAATTTCTCCCACTCTTGTGGATTGACTTGGGTAGGGTACTGAGGAGCCACTGCGGGTAGAATTGATCTTCTGGACCCCTCGGAGTAAGACTCTCACTTGATTATTCCTCTCCTCCTTCTCTCCCTGCCCCCTGACGTTCACCAGGCTTGGCCAGTTGCAAAGCACCTTCTTCTCTGAACGCGTCCTCCCTCCCCTTCCACCGCCTTCACGCCGGGCTTTCCCTTTTCCACCCCAGTTGCACATTTGGTTCTCTTGCTTCTCCGCCCCAGGCCCAGGCTGTGGTCCACGCAGCTTCCGGGTTTTCCCAGGCTCCCCAGCCGGCCTCCAGCTCTTGCTGCCCTCCCAGCATTTGACACACATCCCACCCTCACGGCGTTCGCGTGAACTGCTCCGAGCCTCATCTGCATTTCATTCGCTCTTCTACTTTTCTTCCCTCTTTTTTTTGGTACACGTTTGAGAAACAGAATAAACACATTCCTCGTGGGGGATCTGGTGCATATACACATTGTATCTCAGTTCTTTTTACTTCCTTTCCCTCCTCTCCCTTCTGTCTTCCCCCTTCCCTAAACCCCTTCCCGTTTCCACAGTCTCTAAATTCTAAATTATCAACCACTAGCTTCCATTTCCATAAATCGTGTCATTTTCCATGGCAAATTCCCATGCACAATTCTCTTTTTTTGGTGCCGGGGATTGAACTTGGGTACTTGCCCTTGCAAGGCAGGCCACCGAACCACTGAGCTAAATCCCTAGCCCTCCTTTTTTTTTTTTTTTTTTTGGTTTCTTGAGACAGGGTCTCACTATGTAGTTGAGACTGACCTGGAACTCCCTATGTAGTCCAGACTGGTCTCTAACTCACAGCGATCCTCCTGTCTCAGCCTCCCAAGTTCTGGGATTACAGGTATTCACCACCATGCCCGGCCCCATGCAAAATTCTTGGCCCCATGCACCATTCTTACATCTTACTGACAAGAAAGCTGCAGCTTGCAGAGCATATGGGACGTGCAAAGGTCACATGGAGGAGGCTGTAAACAATCAGGCCAGTCAGAGCCAACACTCTTGCTTCTTTCATTCTGTTACAAGACCTCCAGCATTGGTAGTCTAGAGTTGCTTTGCCTTTATTTTGGATGTCAGGTGGTTTTGCACATAAATATCAAGTCAGGGTGAATTTTTACACTGATTTATCCAATATTATTGGATTCAGATGAATTGAAATTGCTTTAAGTGCTTTGTTTTAGTCTTAAATACTTTAATTAATGCCAACACTTACCACTTGGGTGGTGCACAATGGTGAGTTTATCTAGAAGACAAACAAACAAACATACAAACCATATTTTCTTAGGTTTTGCAATAATATTTATCCTCAGCTTTCTTTTTTGTGCTGCCTACTTTGTGATTTTAAAGGGACAATGAGATCTCAGTCTAACCTTAAAATATTAGCCTTGAGCTCATCTACCTCTGGCCCCTCAGTCTGAAATGATTTCTCTAATTACTTGTTTCTTTTTCTTTTTTTCTTTCTTCTTTTTGGTACCGGGGATTGAACTCAGGTCCTTGTGCTTGCAAGGCAGGCCACTGAACCACTGAGCTAAATCCCCGGCTTCTTTTACTCTTTCAACACTTGCTTCAAGGTGTTATGATATTTGGCATTCTTGTTAATAATAATATTTCTGTTAATAAATCTTGCTACTCTGTCTTGATATTCCTTTACATTAAACTCCTCTGTTCTTTTTAAAATCAACATTATTCAGGAATACTTATATTCAGTGCAAGGTAAACACTGCTAAATGTACAAGGTGGTGACCTTTCACAAATGTGTGTAACCACATGCCCATCAACCCAATAGGACAGAGCTGACTTCAAATCACTCACGCTCAAAGCATTCCTCATGAGGACAGTGATCTGATTTCTACCGCTAGCAAATAGTTTTGCCTAGGTTACAGGATCTAGAATTTGAGATAAATGGAATCTGACATAGCGTGTACTCCTTTGTGTCTAATGTCTTTCACTCAGTGCCCTGATATTCATTTATATTGTTGTGTATAGTAGTAGGTATTTCTTTTTTTTGCCTGAGTGTTGTGCTATAGTACAAATACACCATAATGTAATTATCTATTCTCATGTTGCACATTTGGACTGTGTTTAGTGCAGCTATTACGAATCAAACTGCTATAAAGCTTTATGCACAAGTCTTTGGCAGATAATATGTTTTCACTTGGTCTGGGCTGGAGGGTTTGTGCCATGTATTGAGCACGTATGTGACCGTTCCGAAGTCACTGGTCCATATTCTGCCTCCATCGGCAATGTGTTCATGCTATGTCCAGCTCTGCATCCCAAACAACACTGGAGCCTGAGCGTCTTGCGACTGCACTCAGTATGGTTGTTTCTTGCTACGTCATCTGGTTTTGTTTGCTTTTTCCTCAGGACCTGTGACACTGGTCCCTTTTCCATGCTTTGTTGGCTAAGACTGGGTGGCAGGTGTGGTAGGTGCCCTCAGTGGAGCTGGGCTGTCACTGCAGATAGCTCCCTCCTGGGCAGGTGGGCAGAGAGGTAGGTAGGGATATAGACATCCACGATCCGTTAAACTTCTGCTCGGGATTCCGGGCTATGAAGTGGGATCCATCCCAGCTCCCGGTTCCTTAGGTCTAACTTCATTCCCTAGTAACAGGAAAACTGGCTCCTGTGACGTGTAGTACATTTATAAGATAGTTCAATCCCAGGGTACCCATGAAGTAATTTTAAATGTTAAACTATATCCTCGTGGAGAAAACAAACCCTCCTTATTGGAGTAAAGTACAATTTCTTATTTGTTATTCTTTTTTACTTTTGGCCTTTGAATGCCTTGCTTTATAAATCTATGTTCCTTTTTCCAACCCCCTGTGTGTGGCTGTTATTTAGGCTTATTTATTCCTGCATATGTTCCATTTTGCCTTTGTTATCCCTTCCTTATTTATTAAATATATAAATTATTGACAAAGTTCTAAAATTCGGGAGGATACAAAGAATACACTAGAGAGGTTCAGAGAAGTGTTTTTAAGATTTTCTTTTTTGAGAGTTTAGCCAAGTTTCGATTTTTAAGTAATTTTAAGATTTTCATTTAATTTGCTAAATATGCTAGAAGAAGGTTAATTATGCTTTCATAGTATCGCTCCAATACTTGTAGGCCCTGTTGGGATAAGCTACTTTAGCTTTTTCTCTGGATAATTTTTTTTTTTTGTGGTACTGGGGATCAAACTCGGGACATTGTGCTCGTGAGGCAGGCGCGGTTCCATGGAGCTGAATCCCCAGCCCTGCTCTAGACAATTCTTGGTTTCTTTTTCCTTTGACCATTCTTGCCATGAATTAATCAATTTTATTTATGATCTCAAATGACTTATTTTTGACTCTGTAAATTTTCTTTTGTTCATCTCTTTGCATTTTCATGGATTTCTGATCTTAGTTCTTTTTATTTCCTGTTTTTGGATTTAATTTGCTTTTCATGTTCTAGTTTCCTAAGTGGGATGCTTACAGCATTGACCTAAAGCATTTTGCCTTTTCTAGCACAATTTCTAGGGTCATAAATTTCTCTAATTTAACTGTTAAATGCATAACCATGTTAGCTGAATTCCACAAATTTTGATGCAGATTTTCCACTATCATTCAGGTTGAAATATTCTTTTGGGATTTGCTATTTGCCCCACGATTCTTTTGAAATGTTTCATTTAATTCCTACACATTTTGGTAGATTTTATATATATCTAATTATTATCCAGTTCATGTCTCTGGTGCTGGTAGAATATGACTTCGAAAGACTGAAATATTTCAGAGAACACACGCTGAAGGTCTTAATCTTTTAAAAGTAATTGAAACTTTTTGATGATTCAGCTGTGCCTGTTTTGAGGCATCTTCTGTGCACACCTCGAGTGAAGATCTACTCTGAAGTTTCTTGATGCTTTCTTCGGCAAATGTCAATTAGGTGAAGTTAGCTGATAGTGTGCTTCAGGTCTTCTGCATCCTTATTGATCATCATTATTCTGTGAACTTCTAAGAGGGAAGTGAAAGCATCTCAGTGCCATCAGATTTTGCTTGATGAAGTCTGATAAAACTTACAGGCGTAAATGCAGTAGAAAAGACACCGATCTTTAGAGTCGCTCTATCTTCCTGCTGACTGCGGTATCATTATGCAGCATCATCTGTACCTCTTGTAATACTCTTTGTCTCGAAGTTCATCTTGTTGCATGTTGAAGTGGTCACAAGAGCTTTCTGTTGGCACAGTGGACCCTTCACTGTCCTTCATTGTCAAACTAGGTGCTGTATATTTAAGATGCTCATCTTTTAGACCCAAAACTGAAGTATTGCATTGCAACCTGAGAATAAGTTTCTTTAAAATGAAATAGTTGACTCGTTTAGATTTAACATATTTATTGATCTGTCTCAGGTTAATGTGACCATCTTGTTCTTGATTTTTTGCTTATTCATTTTGTTTATGCTTCTCTGTGAGACTTTCTTGCTTTATTTTTTGTGAATCAAATAATTCTTTAATGTTCCATTTCATTTATTCTGTTGGTTTCTGAGACAACCACCCTTCCTTCCTCCCCCTCTCCCTTTCTCCTTTCATCAGGGTTTTGCCATGTAGTTCAGGATGGCCTTGAACTCACAGTGATCCTCCTGCCTCAGCCTTCCAAGTGCTGGAATTACTGGCATGTGCCACCAAGCCCAGCACCTGATTGCCTTGTGATTAAATTATGTAGTTCAATCTATTAATTATCAGTGCACTCCCTTGTGCTTCATGCCTTGTGTCTGACTCTCATACTCAACACCACACCCTTTCCCATCTTTTCTATAACTGAGTCTCACAATCCACACTTTGCACTTGATTGTGCAAACCTCCAGGGTGGTCTGCACTTCGTGTCCCTTGTGTGAGTGTGTCCTTCACCTTTTACACTTCAGCTTAAGTGTTAATAGCTTTGGCGTTCAATAGGAGTCTTTGAAATAATTTATGGAATGAGAGACTATATTTTATGTCTGCCTCCTTGTATAATTTTTATCGTTCTCCCCGCTCAGTGTGGATCTGGCATCCTTTTTGTTAACTTTCTTCCCACCTTTGTGATATTCATTAACATTTGGCTTGTTGCAGTTTTGCTACAAATTCTCTAATCTGGACATACCCTTATTTCATCAATTTTTGAGGGACATTTTTCCTGCATATAGAGTGGGGTTGGGGTGGTCTTTTATTCGTTTTTAATCTTTGAAGATAACATTACATTGTTTTTGGGCCTCTGTACATCCAATAATCATTTAGTAAATATTCTTATCTTCTCCCTGTGTAAGTCATGTATCTTTTTTCTCTGGCCGCTGTTAAAAATTTTCCCTTTACTTGGTTTGAGATAATTTCACCACAAACTGCGCAGAGGTCATTTTCTTAACAATCATACTAACTGGGTTTTTGTTTGTTTTTATGTGAAGTTCTCAGAATCTGTGGAAGTGGTTTGCAATCAATGTGGCACTATTTTGGACATGATTTTTATATAAATATTTTCTTCCAGACTCACTCTTTTCTCATTCTGGGGGCTACTTGCTTATACTGCCTAACAAAGAGTCTTTTCTTGTCCTGCTCACATATTAATTTCTGTTGCTCTGTTTTCATGTTCACTCTCTTTGCTATACCAAATCCCATATGAAGTTCATTTGAGAAACTTTCATTTCTTACCCCACATAACTTTATTTTTAAAATTTTTCACTTGCTTCTTTTATGTACTTCATTTTTTCTGCTAATATTTCTTTATCCATGCATCGATATCCTATTTTCATCAAGTCAGTGTTTATAAAAGCTGCCTTTGAACTTTGTGCAATGTATGTTTTCTTTCTTTTTCCTTTGGAGATGAAACCTGCATTTGACAATCTGCTGTATACTGTGGATTTTGTAATATTCTGTGGATGAGTGTATGTTGTTGTTTTAGCAGGCAGCTCAATTTCTGACATGACTGTGTATAGATTTGATACTATTCTTCCTTGAGTAATGATCTGCTGAAAGCCCAAGGCATTAGGCAGACTTGGCCTACAAACACTGTCTCTTGCGTGGCTCCTGTAATCATTGGTTACAGGTTTTCCTCCAGCACAGCTATGTAGATGCTCTCTGGTTCAAGGTGCTTCCTCCTTACAGCTCTTGTGCGTCTTTTAGGGATGCAGATGTTCAAAGGAGATACTAAAAATCTTCCTACCATGGTAGGACAGGAGCACAGCTCCTCCCCAGAAAGGCTCTCCCTCCAGTATCTCTGTTTTGGTTTCAGGCTCTAAGCATTGCCATGTTGTCTGCCTTGAGTGGTCTTACCATATGCATGGATACCTCATACTTTCAGTTTCTTCTATGGGATCCTGGGCCACTGCTCTCTAGGAACCTTCCGCACACAGCCTGGCAGCCCTGGCTTCCCTGAAACGGGACCTCTGCCTCCTTTGATCCACTGCACACCCTTGCTCTACTCAGACAGTGCTTTGCTTTGCTTAGAGACAAATGCAGCTGCGAGAGCTGCCTTGTGAGGGCAGCTCTCTCTGGGCTGGTGGTCTTTGCCTGTGTGTAGTCTGCTTGCTGAACCCTGTTGCTCCCTAACTCTGGTCAGGGTCAGTGTCCTGTGCAGGGGGACTGTGTGTCTGCTACACTTCATTCCTGTGGCTCAGGGAGAACTACTACATTCTAGCTAACAACAGTGATTAAGAATGTTGATCTTGAGCTCAAATGGAGTGGGTGACAGTTTCTAATCTGTATGAGCTTGGAATTTTAGTTTCTAAAAATCTTTTTCCATGCTTGAATCTCATTTCGTATTAGAGTGAAGGTTTGTGGAACTCGATTATCTATAAATTAATCTTATGTTTATGACTTTAATTATTTGATGAAATATATTTTCACTTTAGGAGACATTTCTGAGAGCTTAAAGAACTCTCTATGGGAAAGCAGAAAACAGCTCAATAATATGAAGAGAAATGAATTTCCACACCCTGAATTTTAGCATGAAATTCCCACTATCTAAAAGCCACATAGAGTTATTGAAAGTGAAGGAGTTGGAAGCTCTTAAACTTGTTTTAGTGGTTGTTAGTTTTTAATTATCCATGCAAGAGTAGAGAGTTGGGAAAAAAGTGGTCGGATAGTGACAACATAATTTATTTTCAGTTTTGGAGTGTGGTGTTCATCTTTGGAGAAGATTTACCATCTTAATAACACTTGGTTTATGTTACATGAAGTGCAGCCCCTACTTCCACAGCACCGATAATTACTGTCCTGGGGATATGCACTGCTAGGAAGCACACAGCTTTAGGGAAAACTGACGTAGGAGTTATAATTTAAAACGATCCACATGTGGACAATTGTGAGAATTGACTATATTGAGAATATTCCACCTTATTAAAAAGTATGACTCCTTAATTATTTGATTCCCCATATAATGGCTAATAAAAACTGGAACAGAATTTTCCTATTTATTACATAACTCATCCAGAAATGAAGAAAAGAGTAATGAGCCTTGATGGAAGGGTTGCTGTGGGTCAGAGAGTGGAAATATTTCCTGTGTGAACTCACACATGCACTCTCAATGTATGTGTAACCGTTCCTCCTTTTGAGCAACTGAACAAGGGTAGAAATAGCTCCTGGCAGACAGCAGGAAATTAGACTGCGTGGACCGGAAGTGACCCAGCACAGGCTGGAAGCAGTTCCCTTGTTTCCCACTCCATTCTGCTGCCCTCTTTGAGGAGCAGGCAGCTTTCGCTTACCACAGATATTTTCTTCTTCTGGCCTCTTCCCAATAATGCTGTCTCGTAGTTGGCGTAGCTTTTCCTTAATGAGGACACAGAGAATAGAATTTAGGACCAGGTCATGGAAGTCAAGATTTAAACTTTTTTCATGGCTGAAGGTGAAAACATCAACACTACAACGTGGTGTTCATTTGCTATTTCTGTTGTTGGGACCTCCCCCTCCTCATCTTACTTAGTACTCACCACCGCAGGAAAGGGATGTTAAATTTCACCATCCCATCTTGTAGATGTGGAAACAGGTGCAGAGAGGTGCAGTGACCTCCCCAAGTCAGGTAGTGCTCAGTGGAGGAGTTAAGGATGAGAATCGGAGGGCTAATCCCTTTGAGAGCACTTTCCTTCAAGTCTACACTTGCTGTTGGGGACCGGAAGCACCAGAGCCATGTTACACAGGATGGCTTCTTGCTCCCTGAGCCCAGCCCTGGCCTCGGTGGGGACCTTCCCTCCCTGAGTTCTAAGTGTTAAGATAGGGACTCGGGAACAAACCATGTGTGGCTCGCTTCTTGTTTTTAGCTCATTTGTGATCTTTCCTCGTTTTCCAGACAGTCTACATCATTATCCTTTTAACCCACAAGAGAACAACAAGCTACCACGCCAAAAATCTTTTAGGAGACAACAAAGAGTCATGCTTTTCCTGGCGGTTTGCCTGAGGACCTAGAAACCCTTGCAGTGAGGATCTCCGCAGGCAGCACTCCTGTCTCCCCTCCTGATGCCAGGGTGCTGGCTGGCTCTGCACCTTCCAGAAGTTCTGTTTGTGAACTAGGACAATTCCTCTTTCATGATGGCTTCAGGATTTCCTGTGATAAACTTATCCCCAAGGCACAAAGGAGTACTTTGCCAAGTATAAAAGAAACATTGGAAGGAATATAGAAGTGTATGCACATATATGTGTGGATGGAAACATGGAGAAAGATAATAATGATGATAATTAATAATAATAATAATAATAATAATAATATATATTATTATCTGTCTGGAATTCTGTCCCAGTCTCTGTGTAAGGACTGGCTGATTCAAACACAGTCATGAAAAAATTTGGCTTTGATGGAAAATATTACTGTCAATGTCTCTTGGCCTGTGTTTACAGGTTAAAGAAAAAATGTTCTTTTTTTGCATATTCATGATTTCATTCTCTCTATTAGATGAATCACATCAGTCTCCGTGGAATGAGTATGGTTTTCCTTAAATTCTTCCTCCCAAAGATGGAATACAAATATACAAATAAAATACAAACAACCAAGGATTTAATGGAATGACCAGTGAAATTATTTCTAAGAAGCCGAATTACTCTAAAATGAAATTTTTGTTAAAGGCCTTGGCTTACATGAATACAACTTATATGATGCAGTACTGCTAGGCCAAGGAATTTTGTATTTGTCTCTCAGCACTGTCACTGGGTGACAGTGTTGGCAGAGCTTGAGATGGCATGTTTGCTGCAGTTCTGATCAGTGATCTGCAGTGAATTTTTTTTTTTGTTTGTTTTTTGAGACAGGGTCTCACTATGTAGTTGACAATAACCTGTAGCCCACGCTGGTCTCGAACTCACAGTGATCCTCCTGCCTCAGCCTCCCGAGTGCTGGATTATAGGCATGTGCCACCACTCCCAGCTTCTGCAGTGGATATTTTCCAAAATAACTGCCTTTGTGTAAATGGGCATTGCATAATCTGGACCAGGACCACCATCAGCTCACAACCAGAGCTGCTGGTGGAAACAGGTAATTTCTTACCAGGGGTGAATTCAAGTATTTAGAAAGTCCCTGCACCTGAACTGTCTTTTGCCTCTGTGCCAGATTGTTTGAAATGTCATCATTGTGACTCATTTTCTTGTTGTTTTAAAAGTGTTCTTTTATGCACTCTTTTAAACAAAATTTATCTTTTGAGAAAGTTGATGTCTGAAGCTATTATTCGTTATACTTTGATCTCAATAGTTCATTAAATGTGCTCAGTCAACCACCTGGGAACCAAGTTCTGGTTCCATGAGTCTCTGCCATGGGCAGAAAGATAGAGCTACGGTATTTAGGGGGTGGGGGTTTGACTGTGAGATGGACAGAATCTTGTCCTGATTCCCTTCAAAAGGAACGTCAGGGGTTGGGTGGTTGTATTTTGTTTCTATGCTCATCTGAGAACCACCTCCTTTCATCCTCTCTCTGGGTATAAATTATGTTTACAGAAGACAAGAAGGCAAGGTTATCTGAAGTTAACATTCTTGACATTGATAAAAAGAACTGCTTGACACACATGATTTTAATCTTCTGGTATATAATATATATGAATATATTTAATATATAAGAAGATGAAACTTTTCACATTAAGGACTTTTACTCTACATTATTTCAAGCACTTCCTTTGAGGCTAATCTTTGTCCTACTGTTCAGGGCAGAGCACATGTCCGTGTGAAGGCATTTCACCAATTAGATTTTACCAATTTCCCTATACTCAGCACAAATATTATCAGCTCATTAGGGATTAGCTTTAATCACTGAGTTCCAGGATTGAGTTCACATAAATGAACTGGTAAAGGTGAAATATCTCCACTTTACTTTCATGTTTTAAAACTATTTTTTTTTTAAAAAAGCACCTTTGGGAGTCGCTAGTTAAAAACAGAATAGCTGCCAGCTGCATTTCTCATGAAGTCTCAACCCAGCTAAGCCTCCAGGCATCTGTACACCAGGAAATGTTCCAAAGGTCCGGGTCACTGTTACCTTCTGAATCATCTCCAGGCTGCTCTTTCCAATCTGCCAGTGTTTGAATTTCTCCAGGGCTTCATCCACAGACAGCTTCCCATTTTTGACTTTCTCTTGCAGGAGGATGAGTTCTTCCTGCCCGGCTGCCAGGTAGTCCCTTGGAGTGGATGTGGCTGGGCTCTCCATCCGAGCTTTGTCTGTGATACCAGGGAGGGCACATCAAGAGGAAGTCAGTGTGTGGACTACAAATACAGCCAAATAGTGCTGCTTGCTGTACTTAACAGGTTACATTTTAATGCAGGTTTTTCAAAGGTTGGTGGTGCTATCTGCCATCTAGTGTTATGGGTAGTGTTATGTTTTCATTATGGAAAACAGGGGCATCAAGACAGAAACATCAGTAGCAAGAGTTCAACAGTGGATTTGTAGGACATGCCAATTCCTTTCCTTGAGGAATAAAAGGGGTGCTGTGGATGGGATTTTGAGAAGATCATATAGAGTTGCCCAGCACTTGTGGCCTCCTCCAAAAGGAAGAGCTAAAGCTACAGGTGGCTGCTGCATTTGAGGTTCGTGGGCAGGGGAGAAGGCTGGGATTCCTCTGGGAGGGACACAACACACAAGAGGAACCAGGAGTACAGGGTCAGCAAACCCCATCAGCTCAGACAATGGCCACTCTGGCCACTAGATAGTTTCAGTGTATCACAGGTTTATAGCTCAGCTAGGGGACAGCCCAGGGACTGAAGTAGCTTTGCCCTGGAGAAGGAATTCACATCTCATCCTTGCAGCCCCAAGAACCTAGAAAGGGAGAGAAGCTATTGTCTGAGTGAACAGTGCTCCAGGTCATGAACCTCTGCATGTGCCCCTATCAGGGACCTCACAGCCTCTCAACCATACCAGCAAGGTACAATAACCACGAAATCCAAGGTGACCTGCAGGGTGACTTGGCCCAGTGTCCAGGAAATGCCTCTCAGAACACAAATAGGAAAATCCCCCCTGGAGGGGAGACTGCACTACTCTAGTGACTGAGACAGGAGGTGCTTGTCTTGGGGACCAAGGCTGGGGCAACACATGGGGCTGAGAGCAGCATGGAGCCAAGGGCCCAGCTGCCACCTGTTCCGCCATATGCAGGATTGGGTCTGCACTGCCACTGGATGGAACAGGCTCTGAGATTGTTGAGCTGCCATTGCTCTCTACTGCCCAGCCCTGTAACATCTTCATTGGATCTTGGTTATAAGGGGTTTCCATGCCTGGGGCTCTCTGCTATGCCCCCGACTCCTGGCTAGATACCTACGGGCTTGCACCACTAGCAGTGTGAGAGTGAATGTTCCATGCTGCTTCCTGCTCTGAGGCCAGCTGTGTGCAGGTCCACACTAGAATTGGGGTGGGTGCTAAATGCTCCCCTACTTCCCCCAGTCCTGATGCCATTGCTCAATAGTTGGGACAATCAATAGGGGTGCTCTACTGCATACACCACCCCTGCCAAGCCACCAGTGTCTCCACCCTGATGTGGACTTAGAGACATGGGTCTCTCTGCTGTTGCTGTGGCACACTCTGGACCCAAAGCCATTGACTATGGCGGAAGAAGTGAAAGGGAGATCATAGCAGGTGCCCAGCTGGAGCAAAAGCCAGAATGACATATGAAACCAACATCCCAAACAAGTCTTCAGGAGAAAGCTGCTTACTATGAAAGACTCCACATCAGAGTTGCAGACATTTGATTAGTCAAATGCGCAAATATCAACATAGGTGACAAGAAAGATGAAGAAGCAAAGAAACAAGGCCCCCTAAAGAACACAGTAACTTTCTAGCAACAGATCTCAAAGAAAACTGTACTCATGAAAAACCCAATAATTTAAAAAGAATGATTATATGGGAGCTCAGTGAGATTCAAGAAAATACAGCCAAACGAAATTAGAAAAATAATGAATGATTTCAGCAACAAATCCAGCAAAGAAATAAAGATATTGACAAAAAAGCAAAATCTTATGGATAAAGAATTTAATAAGTTTTAAAAAATATAGTTGAAAACCTCAACAACAAAGTATAGCAAGCAGGAAAAAGAATATCTGAATTTGAAAACAAATATTTTGAAATAGCCCAGTCAGAAAAAAGAGAAAGAAAGAAAAAGAGAAAGAATAAATGCCAGTAGTTCCTGAGACCTTTGGAATATGGTCAAATAAATATTTGCATTTTTTAATACCTGAACTAGAAGAAGAGAGGGAAATCATAGAAAATTTTATCAATGAAATAATAGCTGAAAACTTTCTCAATCTTGGGAAACATATGTACACCCAGGTTAAAGAGGCCCATAAGACCCCAAGTGGATATAACCGGAAAAGACCCTGGCATATCATAGTCAGCTGTGGAAATTCTAAGGCAGGGGCCAGGTAGGTAGCTTAGTGGGAGAATAATTGCATAATGTGTGCAAAGGTTGGGGTTTGATTCTGAGTACCATAACACAGAAACAGCAACAACACCAAAGCAAAATATAAGGCAGAATTCTAAAAACTGCAAAACCACTGACTACAAGACAAGCTCTACAAAAGATGTTTTAGGAAGTGCTATACCTAAAATGAAATGAACAAACAAACAAACAAGCAAAAAAAAAAAAAGCATGCAAAAAAATACTGTTGCCACCATAAAGTCATGTGAAAGTATAAAATACACTGGAAGAAAGACGCATGAAGTAAAATAGTAAAGAGTAAAAAACCTTATCAGTAGAATAAGCCACAAAGATGAACAATAAGGGAGAATGAATACAATAAAGACTACTTAAAACAAATGTAAGTAATTTTACAAAATGACAAGAACAATTTCTCACTTATCAATAATAACCTCAAAGGTAAATGGATTAATGTCTCCAATTGCAAGATACAGATTTTCCAAATGCACACAAAAACAGGATCCAATGGTATGCTGCCTACAAGAAACTCACAATGTAAAATGAAAGGATAGAAAAAGAAATTTCATAGAAATGGAAAGCAAAAGCAAGGAGGAGAGCTATTGTTATATCAGATATAATAGACTTGAAGATAAAAAATTCTTAGAAGGGACAAAGAAAATCACCATGTAATTATCAAGGTATCAGTTCAACAAGCTGACACGAAAGTTGAAAATGGGTGTGCAGCAGTGGTGGAGCAATTACTACTTGACTGAAGGGAGAGGTAGGATTCAATACAAAACCAGTGAGATGTTCAATTCCACTTTTCTCAGACCTTCCCTACCAAAGAAATCAAGACAAAGCAAAGTCAAACTATCCTGTCTGTTAAACAGAGGTACATGCAACCAAGCCATAGATAACATCATACCAAATGGGAAAAGTTGAGAACTTTTCCTCTAATGTCTAGATAAGACAACACTGTCCACTGTCAGCAACATTGTAATGGAAATTTTAGCCTGTAAAATTACACAAGAAGAAGAAGTAAAGGGATTTAAATAGGAATATAGATACAATGATTCCTGTTTGCAGACAATATGATTGTTTATACAGAATAACCTAAAGACTCCACTAAAAGATTATGAGAACTAATAAATAGTTTCAGTAAACTTATAGGATACAAAATGAATGTACAAAAAATCAATAGCATTTTATACATTATTGATGAGATTGCTGAGAAAGAAATAATGAAAGGAAGCCCATTCATGATAGCTACAAAAAGAATAAAGAAATAATGACAGACCCAGGAATAAAGAAAACCGAGGAAAACTATGCATTGAAAATCACTAAATTGCAATAAGGAAATTTTATTATAAAGTGAAAATTTTTATGACAAAAGGATATTTTATTACAAGAGGAAAAACCCTCTACATTTGTCGATAGGAATAATTAATGTTGTAAAATATCCACACTACCCAGAACAATCTACAGATTCATTTAATCTCCATCTATATACCAACACCATTCTTCACAGAATTAGAAAACAAGACTCCTAAACTTCATGTGGAAGCAGAAAAGATCTGGAATAGTGAAAGCAATCTTGAGCAGAAATAATCAAACTGGAGGTTTTGTGCTACCTGGATTTATTATATACTATGAAGACATAGAAATAGAAACAGACACCAATGGAACAGAATAAAGTGCCCAGAAGCAATCTTGTGTATTTAGATCCAAACTGCTCACAAAATCACTGTAAATGCATTTGGAGAAAGGACAGCCTCTTTAATAAACAATTTGAAGAAAATTGGGTATTCACATGTGGAAGATTGAAACTTGACCCCTGTCTCACCCTATGTAAAAATCAAAATCAAAATGAGTCAAAGGCCCATTGAAAGTTCTGAAACTATGGAACTATTAGAAGAAAACTTTAGAGAAGCACTTCAAGCACTGCTATTGGTAGTGAGTTGTTTTTTTTGAAAAAGACAAAAGCAAAAATAGACAAATGGGATTAGAATAATCTAAGAAGTTTCTGAGTAACAAAGACAATCAACACAGTAAACAAACAAACTCCAGATAAAAGTTTCATGAGCTTTTCATCAGAGCACTAATATCCAGACTATATAAGGAACTTAAAAACCTAACTAACAACAACTATAGTATCCAATTAAAAATGGTCAAAATATAAATAGACATGCCTCAAAAGAATAAAGAAAATTGGTCAGCAAGTACAGGAAAACAGCCAACTTCATCACATGTCAGGGAAATGCAAATCAAATGCAATGAAAAATTGTCTCACCCCAGTCAGAATGGCTGTTACTAGAAAAGTAAAAAAATAGGAATGTCAGTGAGCATGTGGAGAAGAGGGAACTCTTATGCACTAATGCGAATTAGAAAGCCACTACAGAAAATAGTATAGAGGTTCCTTAAAGAATTAAAAACAGAACTGCCATAGGACCAGCTGTTCTAGCTCTGTGTATACATTTCAGGAGAAATATCGAGTACATCGAAGATACACCCGCCTGTCCCTGTTGATAGTGGCCTTTATCACAATAGTTAAGACACTGAATCAAACTAGATTTCTACCAGTGGGTGAGCAGAGAAAGAAAATATGGTAACATGCACTGCAGAATATCATCAAGCCAAAAGAAGAATGACAGAGAAATGGCTGGAGTTGGAGGTTATGCTAAGTGAGATAAGTCAGACACTGAATGGCAGACTCTGCATCTTCTCTCACGTTTGTGAATGTTACGAAAGGGGAGCAGAAATGCAGATCAGGATCCATAATACAGACTACCAGAGTTTGAACATAGTGTGGGGAGAGGT